TAAGTGTCGTATGGCACAACGTTCAAAGAGAAAGTAGCAAGACATTATTATGCGAAGTAGCACTATAGATTGCCATAAGCATATTGATTAGATGAAGGAGATTCGTTAAAAATACAGGAATAACATTTTATCATGTACAATATCATAAAACGTGTTTACCAAACGTGCGATTAAACAGTAGTCTCTGATGTAGCCATATAATGCAATTGCTAAACATTGTACGTTTAGTTCGTGTTCATGGGCGAATTTCATTCTTCAAGATTAGTGGTAGTGAAAAATGTTATTCCATGCAGCTTGTCTATTACAATGCCATCACATTTCCTCACTATAAATACAGTATGTAATTCCAAATCGATACATAATGCATTTAATGAAGTGCTAATTACAATGCAACATTTAACTACACATCGTATATCTGTCTCTTATGTTGACCGAATAGTTTGAAATTTATTCGTTTTTATCAAGTGATTTGTAAAATATCAGATCTTGGGAATAAATAAATCAAAATCATGCTATTCGAACTAGATAATATGGTATGCAACAATTTCTTGCTATTGTTTAGCTTACAGCATGTCCATTCTGCGCGTATTACATTTTGCCTACAGAAGTGTAAATATGGTGGTCGAATTACTAGTTTAAATTTCATTAATAGTCATGCTTTTGTGATCGTATGTCAATCTGTTTTATCGTCGAAATGTGCACACGATGTTTCTAGTTATTTTCCATCAACGTTCCTGAGGACTTTCTACTTGTAAAATTTATTCACTTACAAAAAGCATCTACTGTACATATGAATGATCGTTTCAGCAATATTCTCAGCATTCATGAAATATACAATTAACTAATTCTTATAAGCAACGAAATGTGTTATTCTATCTACATGAACACACACTTTGAAATACATGTTGATCAGCCATTTATTCATTAATATTGCTAATCACGCTCACACGTTTTTATCAACAGCGATCAGAATGTCAATCATCTATATAATAGTGTCAGACTGAAGTAGTATATAAGCATCACAGTATTTTCATTTGAGACAATTATAACTTATCTACGAAAAATGAAAAGTGCTGTATTTCTTCTGATCTTACTTGTGATCTCAAGTCAAATAACATTTGACGGTAAGCAGTTTTGTCGTAAATCCGGTTTTTGCCAGTGTATTAATTTGTTTGATTTCAATTTATTTATGTGCAAGAACTGTTACACCTTCGATCTTAATTCTGTGGATCATCATCAACAGACATGATTTATAAAAAATAAAACCGATTGATGATTCCACAATTATAAATTACCTGTTTCAGATCATATCTCCATATCAACAATCAAGAGATTTCTAGCATTTCTACTAATATAGAGTTATCATTTTAGAATTAGTTTTACTAGTACACCTTGATGTAAAGACCTACACTCCCAGTGATATGGTTCACAGCAGTCCTTCTGTTAACGGCTGTAAGTAACATAACTTCGAATTTTGTAATAAATGATCGCCTATTCAAAAAGTAATTTTCTGTTCATTCCGAAATGAATTCGGAATTCACAATCTCATTGATTATGATCATTTGTTTAATCAAGGGGTTGTCAATAAATGTGTATTCGATTTACTGTGATTACCTCTACATTACGTCAATCACACATCAATATTTCGGAAGTTACGCGTCTGTTTAGTTTATCTCACTTGACAGATTAAATATTGACAACTTCACTTGTTTATGTTCCTCTGTTTGCCTATCACATTAAGAACAAACTATACAAATCATTAGGTGTGTTTTGAATGTCCATGTTTAGTTACAATTTACTGACTTTCTAATTCTTTGTGTCAAAAAAATGGTTAACTTGATTTCTTGTCCAAATCACACCACCATCACACACTTGAAGAGAATAATATGGCGTTACGGTATTCAGAGAAATGCATCACTCCTTTTAGCAGATTTGTATACCAGTAGCAAAGACGAATTTTATTTTAGATGTTGAAATTCACTTATTTTTAAATTAAAATACAGTGGAAGGTGGAGCGGTAAGTTTTGAAACTAATAAACCAAGCTTTTTTTTAACCAGAAATTCTGTTTCATTTTCACAAAATACAGTTGTATATAATTCCAGGTCCATAGTTAAGGCGACTTTATTTCGGATGTGCGTAATAAAAATAAATGGGCCTTTTCACGTTTATTGTAAATGTTCATAGAAATAACCAGCTAAACACATTGCACATTACTAAATGTTTAATTGAATTAAAGACTTGTCAAGATAAAGTGATCATTGTTACGAAGATCGTCATGTCATTTACACAAATTATAAATCCATTAGCTGAGAAATTTTAGTCACACAGATAATATTGGTGTGTATTGAAATGTTCAGATAATTATGAAATGGAACACATAAACAATATATCGAAATGAACTATGATGAGGTTAGATTTCAATGACGAGCCACTGTCGATTAACTGAAAAAACAAAGTGTTAATTGACCGAAAAATGTTAAGGAGAGTTGAATAGAGTGAAAATAATCAACTGGCTTTACGAATGACTACGAATCTGCTACATAAATCAGTGTGAAAAATATAATAGTCATGGTCTTCCCTCATTCCAGCTACTTGTTAAGATAGACAAAAAGGAGATTCAATAAATGGAGCATTAGGGGTTAGTAACTACAACTCAGGTTGTGTTCAATTCCAATTTAATTTAGTTGTAAATAACAGATAAATATCATACACATAGCATTCATATAGGACACGGTTCCATCTTCTATAATGTAAAACGACTGATCTGTGTGTGAGTGTATGTGTGTGTGTGTGCAATGTAGTCCTACATCATGAGCAATGTAAATTATCACCTTTCAGTGGTATGCATAAAAGAGATCCTTACTGATCAACGTAATTCTAAGGCATATCAAGATGAATATTATTCTATAAAATAAAGTTTAAAACTAGGTGGTGTTATATCTGTAACTCAATGAACTTTTTTCGACAAATTTCGACAATTTAGGCTAACGTATCTCAAGATATCATGTAAATAGATGTCGAAATTCAACAATATGTAAATCATATTCACTACATATATAGAATGTTGTGGTGTAGACTTTCTTATGTGGCAGTTCATTCATGATTTGTCCAATAAATTTACAATAAACTACCACGTAAATATGATTAACGGGAACATCTGAAATATGTGGAAATTTGGAAAGTTAAATTCACTGATGGCATCGCCTGGTTTTCGTTTTCACTATTGGTTTTTAACTGAATAACTGTGAAAACCCTATATTTTATGCCTAATAAAACCATTGCTATGACTAATATTATTACTTACGTTACTATTATTAGTCTGAATCAATTTTCATTTTATTACTCTATATGATACTTATTGCTTATTTGGTTCAAAACAGAGTCAACACGTAAGTAGTAATCTAGTTTTAATATTTAATTACACTACTGAGTTAATTTGTCAAAGAGGTTGTGTGTTAGATGTATCTTGTAAACTAGAAACTAATTTAGTTAATATAAGAAGTTGAAAATGAGAAGTTGACTTTACAAATAAGAATGAAAATGTCACTTTATCTCTTTGATTATTCTCAACCATGATGTATTATTCCACCTGTTTGTAATATGCTCATGGATATTTATTTATATATAATCCAGAAGATAATGCTGATCAAAGTGAATTTTAATTGTTGAATTCATGAGTCAATTAAAACTAGACCACTGTGGAAAACTTGGCAGCACTGCTAAGGAGTTCCATATTAGGAAGAAACGGCCGTCCACGATTTCCAAGTTTCCATGGTGATCTAGCTTTAATTGACTCATGAATTCATTTATTAAATTACTAAAATCTTCACCAAATCCCCTTCTTCTCTTTTAAAAAAGGCTAATGCTGTAAGTTATGAACTTAATCTTGAATTAAATTTGATGTACTTTCAATATTTAATGAAGTTTTCAACGAATAGTAGCTGGTCATCCCGGATATGAATGAATAACATTTGACGAAGAAGAAAAATATGTAATGAAGTAGTCACAAAATGGAATGAAATCTACAGTTAGTCACAAATCTCTTGTTATTCCAATCATTCATCAGGAAATGAAGCAAAGTGAATTACAAGAACGATTACTTTCTTTTTAGTTGACTCGTGACTGAAACATACCGGGATATTTTTAAACAATTTACATCCGAGTCTTATGTTCTAATAAATTTTCGTAATATTTTCAAAAGTGCTGTCAAGTTGTGATTTTCATTAATCCACTTCATGGATACATGGAGGGTTTTACTTTTTTCCAGGATCTTACACATGAATACCCCGACGCTTCATATAACAAGGCAAATAAAGATTATCTGGTAAGTGATGATTCAATTTCAAATTTTTCAAAATATTTCTCTCTATTAAATTTATTCATGGAAAGACATTATTCATCTCTCTGATTCAGGACTTAGATGTTCGAAATTTAGTTTATCTGTCATGGTTTGTTGTAGTCACTAGATTGAATAACTCGACCATTTTGGTGACAAAGGTTTCCAAAGCCTGCATATTATCATTGCTTGATATTATACATAGTTCTATAGTAAGAGTTCAATAGCTCTAGCATAATCTACAGAGTTGTATTTCGATCTTCACTGAGCTTAATTATATATAGATGATGCATACAATGAAACTTTAAATTATAGGCCAGTCTGAAAAACATTCATTTCAAGAATGGTACAATTAATATTTCCAGCGCGTTCTGTGGTGAAACGGAAACACCTAAATTAGTTGGCTTTGTATTGATGAATCTAGATACTTTTGTACTACTCGTGCTAACTATTATTATGAAATGTAATTTTCCATGTTCACGAAATAATCACAGTCTGACCAATCAGTCGAATAGTTGAAAATAAACATAGTTTGATTTTAGTAACTACATTTGAATGAGAAGGCAATGTTAACAGACATTGGTTATTGTCAGTAAAATACCAATTAGACTACTTAGTGAATATTGTGTAGTAAAGCATGAATATCTGACTACATTATTGTAAATGGTTCAAACTTTACTACTTGCTTTCCTTAAAGAAAATACATGGAATTATAAGACGATAAAAAATGTAAGTCGGTTGATTTTGTTTTACATACAAGTTATCCCGATGTATGACTACATTTGAATAGCCTCGAAGATGTATGCTGTTCTTTGAGCTATCTTCTATGTTGTTTGTTCTCATGAGTTTGTCAAAAGTATGATGAAAAACAAACAATCAGGTCGAATTCATACACATTTTCACAATCTTGAAATACGGTCATATCTGAAGTAATCAAGAAGAATTACCACGAGCTAACATAAAGCATTGAACTAATATTTCACTTTTAATACCAAAGTGTACATTGCATATAAATTATGTTGTTAAAGAAATGAAGGGTTAAATACCTTAAAATATAATGAAAGAATGACAGATTTAACACTACGAAATTAGCATTAATTGTGATATGTCTGGGATATTGTATCCTTAAATTTTTTATTGAATTCATTTCGACTGGCATTCAAGCACCAGAGAGTGTGTGTTTAAAATCAGATTATTCCAAAGTTTACTTGGATTAAAAATGTATGGAGAAATTTTAACAGTAGAGCTGTGTAGAATATTGTTAATTGAAGTTAATGGTTTAAATGTTGCTATACTTAATAATTATTCAGAACCTTTAGCCGACTAACTATGCTTTTAGCTAATTATACTGGTATTCAGAAACATTCATCACACAATGAACTTTCTAAAGATACCAATGCTTCGAAACACGACCAGTGTTCTATTACTTTCTTTATCATTTTCTTTATTTACTCGATGTGCCCTGAGTAGACAAGTTGAGTAAGTAAGAAGTGTTATGTTTTATTAATTCACATTCGTGTAGTGCGATAAGATTTAACACTAAACCAATTAATACTTCATGGATGATAAGTCTTAGATAATATTAGAAAGGTCTGTTGAGATAGTATTGTCAAATTAAATGTTCGGATTAAATCTGTAGTAGAGAATAGATAAACCAATCTTGTAAAAACTCAAAGTCAGTTTTACAGTTACAATTATGAACATCATGGTGGTCTGAAATTTCAGTCTTTAATCTTTTTTTTTCATTGAGCATATTTCCTCAATCTAACAAAAGTTGTTTCTACTTTTCCTTCCTTTTAAAGATGAATTCCAAACTGTGTTTCACAATCATTCATTTTCATTCTATTTTACATGGACAATAATATGAAAACATGATTATCTCATATGTTACCTTCATTATCTGTCACCCATTTGAGTGAAATAAAATCAATGTTAATTTACAGTGATCAAATTGTGTTAAATAACATTCAATGGAAGGAGAACACTTAATCAAAATGGGAATGTAGTTACTATCGATTGGATTGGTCTAATTGAAAATAGTGGTGGAACCTGTTTTAATAAACTACAATGAATATTCGTAACGAATAATTTAGGTTGTAAACTCTATCAATGTAGTACTACCTTTCTGTCAGTAAAGTTTAGGCTTTCATAAAATAGTTAAAGATTCTCTTTGCGCACTAAAGTGAAAATCAATACTGTAACTCGAATGAACCAATATAGAAATAATTTCTCTGAGCAGGTATGTAATATGTATGATAAACTTAGAGCGTCTAAACTACCTCATATGAAGTAACAAACATTTAAGTGATTTAAAAATGAGTGAAAGATCAAGCGACATCATGCAGTAACAGTTTATCATGATCAGTAAATTTAATCTATATATAGGTGTGAGTGCGTATCCAAGATCCCGCACGTGAGACTCGAACCGAGGAACTTTGCTCGCGCACTCAAATACTTAACCACGGGCTAGCATCCGATGGTGTTAATGTCTAATTTCAAACAATCCAAGATATTGAATGACCATCTTGCATTGTATTCGGTAGGTAATTGCCTCATACGCGACACGCTTATCAGTCATGAAGAACTATCGTTTAAAGTGATGTAAGCTCACTAGTACAAGATAAAATAGAAGTCCGTAGAATGATAAATGATGACTAAAAAATCTACAGTTATCCTTCAACATGAAACTATTACGGGTTATTTATAAATACGTGAAACTGAATCATTCACGATTGAAATTTTGAATAAAACACTGTTACATTCTTAATGTTAAGTATTAGTTATCGTTGAGACTTATGCATCAAATGATTTATACAAGATGAAAGACATCCAATTTTGCAAGTGCTCATTATGAGTCAGTCTCACTAAATATACCCACGTATTATGCACTACATTCAAATTCATTGTGAGTTTCACCAAATGAATTTCCTATTTTCCATGATTCTTTCTCACATAACTATAACATGCAACTATTAATCTTATTATGGTAGAAACTATGGACGCCGTCGTCTTCGAATAACTTTCGGATCAAGTAATTACATTTTATTTTAAGTAGACAAGAGAGTACAGGCATAGTAACCAATTGTTTATTTGATTTAAAATACTCTGAAATTTCTTTTTGTTTTCTTAATTTAAATGTTTTGAATTAACTCCAAGTCGAAATAATAATAAAAAAGAAAAACATTAACTGAAATATTGTTTATTGGTGAACTATGGTTAAATGAGGTTGCAAATATAATTTGAGTAGATTAAGGATATTTTGACGGAAATATTACTAAAACAGAATAACCGTAACTAACATTGAAGTGAGTGTGTGTTACTGAAAAGAAGTATAAATAAAATCTATTCAGTTACGTGATTAATCCATGTAGTAACTACTCTGCCTAGATAAGTTATTTAATCAGAAAACCAAATTCTGAAAATTGAAACTGTGACTAGTGTTTACAAGAACTAGTCATCATATTGTATTGTGTCGTTTACGTGAAACTTTAAGACTGGAATAAACTCGAAACTTACCCAATTACAAACACATGATAAAAATGATCGTAAGAATGTTAGTTTGATCAGTTTCACATAATTCCAATTGGGCGTAGCTTAACGCAAAATGGGTTTGATATTCCGATAGTTCAATAACTATTCGAGATTAGCCATTGCAGTAACATTATGAGTTATACTACTCATGCTGACATGATCCGCATAGTTGAGAATGTACTCAGTTCATGGTTCATGCCTTCAATGCATACAACTTATTTCTATTAGACGTTAGTTCCACATATATTCTAATATCCAGAATAAGGAAATAGTGAAACTTCATATTTGAAAATAAGCAGTTCCAATATGCGATAATCGTATTCTAGAATAAGTCGGATGTTGTTTAAGCATGCACTTGATACAAAAAGAAACGAGCAAATAATTAATTGTTGTCACTGTTTCCATGATTACATTAACATGACTATTGACTACTGTTGAACGTCGAAAGGATATTTTAAGTTTTAAAAGGTGGTGAAGACATAGAATGATGTGCATACGACAAAGTAAATGAGATTTATTTGATGTATGATGTGAACAAGATTTTCCGAGCTCATTCGAAGTACGACAATCAATTAAAAACATTATATCGGTTGGTTGGCAATACAACCGATTAAAAATAATACTATATGGATGTACTAGTGCATTGAGTGCTAATTTTTTATTACCATGAATATGAAATGTGAGCTCTAAAATGAGTCATGTACTTTATTTGTTGTGTGGGCAAAGTGATAAACACGTTTCACTGAGCATCGCCTCTTATGGATTTGTAATTATCTCCAAATATTATACTCATTTGTATTAACTAACGTTGTTTAATTGAATGACTTGGTAATTTTCGACTTTTGTGAAAAAATGGTTGATCAATATAAAAGTGTCAGTATGACCACGCAGTTGTTTGTGCTTTCTTCCGTGGCTGGTTTCGTAATCTTGATTAATTTCTCCTTGGTAGTGTTTTTTCATTGCTCTCTGTGTAATCTGCTTGATTTCTTGATCGCAGTTGTCGAGTTTGCCGAATGTTCCGGTGTAAGTATCCTCTATGGTTTCATCTTTTAGTAATCCATGACGTGTTGGTATTTGCGGATCCCGTAGCAAACACCAGTTATCGTTAGGTGTGACATTTTTACTCCGCGTTACTCAGTTATTCTCCATTCTCTTCGACAGGTGATTGGAGGTCTGCATATAGATGCAAAATAACTTACAACCTAATAATGAATTATCTTGGTATCTTAAAGAAAAAGTACAAGTATGAAACCTCGATCTAATTAGAAATACTTATCTTCTAGTACTATTTCTGAGCAAACAACAAATACACCTAAGAGAAACAAAACACAACTCATTATTAAAGTTAGAATAAATTGGTTACATTAAAAATATGCTATGTTTTATGTACTGTATCTAGAATAGTACAATCAGCTAAAGATCACAGCCAAATTTGAAGATCAATCATAAATGAATACATCACAATTACATCAAGTACATTGTTCGTATCATCATATCATATGACAATAGAATAGATACAGATGCATATGCAATCGAGTTTTTTTCATTTTTAAATTTACTAGTTGACACTTTCACTCGTCAATCTCTGTTTATCAACTGATCCTCATAATGCCTTAAGAGGTATTGCTTGTTTTCGAATAAACACAAACAAGATATTTAGAGCACATCATTTTGATTAAAGGTTTACATTTGTTATACATTTTATGGAAATTAACTTTAGATGGATTCATTTTAATAAGTAAACGAAGTGAAATTAGACTAGATGCTGATTATAACTTGACATTAATGTATTACTTCGAATTAGTTAGTTATCGTTCCGAAGACAGACGAGTGTCAATCCATAAAGTTAAGATCCTCTTATTATTCATTTATGAATAAACATGAACTAGAATTTAGTTGACATGGAAAACATAAAACAATAAAGAAATTTTGATTAAAATTCCGCCTTATTCAACCTCATTCAGACACAGATATTTTGTTATGAAAATATTGATGGTAATTCCCAAACTATTGGGTTTAGCACAATTCCGACTAAGTTATGGAATATTTATAAAATTATGAAATATATTTTACTTTTGTTTCTACAGAGCCATGACTACCATTAAAATATCAATTCAGAGAATAAATATTTCTGCTTTAATTCCATTTGGAGTTTTCATAATCGTAGTAAAATAAATCTAGTGTTTGATATTATAATTGTTACTGAATTCTTCGCTTCACTCCTGTGTAAATTATTGCCCTCATTCCATGCGTGTACTTGTGCAGTACCAGTATGTGTATCTCACTCACTTGACCACAAATGTATAATTTTACTCGTAGGTGTCTTTGAAAAATAGTACGCGGAAAATCTGTAGGTGTCTTTACGGAGTTTCGACTGATAATTTTAAATAAATTTAGCACTGGGTAGATCATTAGCGTCAAAAACTAATGATACATTTTTAGTATCCCATTAAGTAGAAAATAAAGAATTTTCTGACATTCCTTGATTCTAATTGCTGAAAAATTCCCATTATATTAAAAACACAATTGTATGAACGAAGAATATTCTTTTCCAATAATTTCTCATCAGGTTCTACAATTATAAATCCAGATTAATAATCCATAAAATTGGCCAGATTTAAGGCAAAATACATCATTTCGAAATTGTAATATGTGAATCAGGAATTGTTGTTTGTTATATCAAATCAAATCAAATCGTTAATGTTGGGGCTAACTAATATGAAGTGTTAACTTGAATCAGTTCATAAGCGAAATGAAATTGTGAGATAAATTATCAGGATAAATATGGTCAACATGGGGTAAGAGAGAGAGAAAATTGTCATTACAAATCGGAAATTGCGTAATATGTAAAATAATTAGGTCAAATATAGTAGATTCAGGGGTGGATACTGAATAAATTCATCAAAAAGGGGGTTATCAAGTGTAAAGACAATAATAATCATAACAGTAATAATAATAATAATAATAATAGTAACGGTAATAATAATAAGTTTGGGACATAAAATGAACATTAATCAGATTACGTCACCATATTTTAAGATTGATTATTAGCTAGTTGGCCAGGGTAAAAAGAGTGGCTGAACATACTTCTTTTGGATACAAAGCTCTGGCTTTTTGATCCGAATAGCAATTGCTTCAGCCGTCTGTAGGATTCGCAGTCTGACGGAATTAGGTAGACTGCTGTTGACACGGTAAACTATTACAAAAGATTGCTCGATGTTGGCTGTATGTCCTGTTTGGACTATATGGTCTAAGATGGAGCTGTTAACAGTTTTGACAACACCTTTGCTTAACCACACGGGTAGGTGCTCACGAGCCCGAATGTACAAATTCCTAGAACATCTGCCAATATAACTTGCTCCACATGAGCAGTTGAATTGATAGATACAGAATTAGGTGGCAAGTCTAGGCAATTTATCTTTCAACCTCGGAGTGATTATTGGTCGTGTGAAAAATACTAGTTGTAGTTTAGCTGCGTTAAAAGTCCTTTGAATTTATCTACTTAACTTGAGTCTTAACATTTCACTCGGCGCGTCACCTCTGAATTGTAAGCGTATATATAGAGGCTTTCTATTTACCGTTGGGTATTCTATACGCTGTCTTTTCTTGGCTAAGTTTTTATTTATAAATTTCTCTGGATATCCGTTCTCTTTCAGGGTTGTAAACAATGTCTTAGTTTCATCTTCAATCGTATCCATAGTGCATATAGTCTTGATTCTATGATGTAGTGTCTTGATAAGGTTCCTTTTTTGTTGTAGAGGAACGAAACTGTAAAAGTTAGTATATTGACCCGTCCAGGTCATTTTCCTGTTTATGTTTCTTTTTAGCGATCCATCTTTTCTCCTTGTAAGCAGAACATCTAGGAAGGCTAATTTACCCCTATTTTCTTTCTCACATGTGAATTTTATGGACGAGTGAGCTCTATTGAATTGCTCGATTGTTCTTATCAAGTCCGTATGCTCGTTACAAATGATAAATGTATCATCCATATATCGACAGTACAATGAACATTTATCGATCTCTTGTGCCAGTGGGCCGTTTTCTAGTTTAGAAAGGAAAATGGGACCCAGGGGTGAACCCATCGCGACGCCATCTATTTGTCTGTAAATTTCCCCATTGAATTTGAAATGTACATTCATAGTGCATTTCAGTAATAATTCCTTGATGATCTCTACAGGGATTGTCGTTTCTAGTTCCTGTTCTCTAAGTGTAAGGCACTTTTTCAGAGACAAACAATTCAACAAGTTAAATTAATATGAGTTTAACTAATACAAAAGTATAAAGTAAGAGAGACAAAGTACTGTTTTCGTTACACTGAATATGTTTGTTTTCTGATCCATTTGGTAACAGGCTTCCACATCTCAAGAATAACTAATAAAACATTGATAAACAACATAAAATTTTATTCATATTCAAAAATTACTGGTTATCACATTAAAAAGTATTGGAATGCGAGTCAGGAACATTCCATAGCATTGAAATACCTCATTTCGTTCAAGTAAAAAGAAATAGTGATTAGTTTGTAACACATTGGTTATAAAAGATGGACGTTCTATCAGTATTCTTCAGTTTGCTTGACATTTATGTGTATGTTTTATTCTCAAAACCTACTAGTGTACTCACGATCACTTGTTTCAATATTGGATGTAATGCTTATCTATATAGTAAGGTAGTTCTGTAATAATAAACCTCTTTACAATTATTATTCTGTCACCATAATTATCTAAGATGAATGTGCTAGTTGTTGAAATCTATTGCACTAATCGTTCTCCTCCTAGCGAAGCAAGTTTAAAATAAAACAATCATCGTTCTTTTCACAATTTGCAAGTAATACAACCTAAAATGTTTTCAGAAGAGTTTTTGTATTTTATAGGCGATTGGTATGCGTAGATCGTAAAATAAAGCATGCACATGAGATGTTGTGTATGTAATGTAATGGTTTGATAAGGATCATACGGAGGTGATTGAATTTGTTTATTCCATGAATGGTTTGTGTGCTTAATAAAAGTGTATGATTTCTGAATGACATGCATTGATCCCATTGCTTCGGTTTTATTTGTTCTTTTGAACATTTACGCTTGGCTTTTATGAAAACGCAAATTTGAACAGACATAAATTCATATTTGAGATCAAAAATGACAAAGAATTAACGAAAACATGACAGATTTATTGTATCCGATTTTTGATAATTGATTAGTGAAAACTATTTACGAGTGTTGATGTTTTAATAATTGCATGATATGATGAAATGATTTGTCACAATTAATTACAACCTAAACTCCATATGGAGCCTCTTTGGGTCTACTGCCGATCCGATGCCCGGATAAAGAAGGATAGTTGGGCATGTGGTTAGCAACCCAATCCTGTAAAAACCTAACTCGCTAATGAAACGCTAACCAGAAGTACAACCTGAATGTAAAATATTTATAGCATAGTTTTCATCTCATTAGATTTTAATCTCAACTTATTTATCAGGCATTTGTTATGAACACTGAGTAAATTTGCTTCTAAAAACTGTTGAATAATGATAAAGTGTAAATACTGAATTGGATATCAAATAATATGGTTACTATGAATATGTAAATTGATTTGTTTTTTCTGACTGTTAAACAGCAAAACTGTACTTGTTCCGAATGAGATAGTCAACACAATCTGATTATTAGCAGAAGACGATAACCTTGTTTCAGTAGGGACAGTTTACACTCATCTATAAATAATATGATTTGTAGAATGTGGTATATATATGTACATAAGAATAGAATCTGATTAGAAATGGAAATCTAAAGTGATAATTTCCCCAAAATCTACGAACAGAAGCGTTACAAATACATGGATTTAAATTCCTAGTTCGAAGAGATAAAATTGATTGTTTTGATGAGATGGGGGATTAATAGAAATTTTCGACGAACTATTGGGTAAAAATGGATTTCTATCAATGCTTCTTATGTATCCATATTCATGGGACAGAACGTAAATTGAAGTTACTATTTGTAACAAAATACCACCGTTCCTGAAAATGTCTTGAAGAGACGAATAATTCCTAGTGGAGTGTTGACAAGACGTTCACAATTATAATTTTTACAAAGCAACAAGTGCGATTTGATAGTTTCGGAAATGACGTCGCTGTAAACAATGCTTTCGCATCAGAAGCGTCCTTGCAAAGATGTTTGGCAATTTACGCTCTGTTAACAATCAATTGTGTGATGATTTGTCTGTGGAAAAATTATGAATGAAGTGCATATTACTTGAGATATGACCAGTAGTTCACTCTTTCAAACGAAATTTCAAATCAGATGGCAATTCATAAATGATTATTGTGTTATATTATGGAAAGGATGCAAGTTTTAGCTGTTATAAGAGAGAAGGCAAATAGCTGTCGCAACAAAATATACTTTTACATAAACGAAGATTCCATGTTTTGAACACACAAAACTATCACAGATTCCACTGTTAACCAATATCACATTCTGTTTAATAGATGTTTGTGGCAGGTGGCAACATGGAGGCAATCCGCTCACGATGCACAAACGCTGAAGCAATTGATAAGTTTACAGTCCGTAACATCGTAAACCGAAAAATTCAAACTCACACAATAAATAAGAATCAATTTTTAGGCTACTCTTATGTATCAAAATTTCAATTTTATGAAATAAAACTGAACACATACATCGTTATGAAACGGCGTAATTAAATTCTACATTTATCAATACATTTATTCGCGTCATCTCAATATTCCTGATTCATGCGATATTCACCATCACCTGAGAAATTTGTCAATTATAGAGGATGAAAAGGCAAATCCAAATTATCATAATGTTTCTGACTGCTTATGGTAATTAACCATGAGTCCATAAACACAGTTGTACAATACTCCAATATGTTTTCAATCTACCTAGTGTTGTTCGTTAATATTCAGATGTATAAGTTTAAGTGATCATATACATAAATTAAGGGGCTATGACAAACCACTTATAATAAATTTTATGATGTGCGATATTGAATAATCCGTTGGATATTACAATACCGCATTTGATGATTAGTACAATATATTATAACTGTTACTGTACTATCTATTATCTTACAATATAGACATTATAAAAACACTTGAATGAGCTTCGTAATAAATCTAAACCAGAAATAATAATTAGTTCTTCCCTATGGAATACATTACGATGTTCTACATTTTGAATTAGTCGACACGTTATAATACATTGTGTTAATTTTTATAACAAACACTATTTAGAAATATCAACATTCACCTAGGGTGACGGGAGACGTTCACACGACGATGTAACAAAAGTACATTAATGTTTAAAAGTGATCAAATCGTTGTATAGCTCTGACAACACATAAATAATCTGTTTTGAATTCAGAAGTTATTACTAGAGTACCATCAAAATATCTGGCACGTATATATAAAATTCAGTAAATGTAGTAGTACTTTCAGAAATACACATAGCTTCTGAAGAGATTTAGCGTTTTTCTAGCAAGTTTATATTTTACAGGATGCGGTTGCTGACCACATGCCCAACCCTCGTTCTTTACCCAGAATTGAGACCGCCAGTAACCAAACCAAATCACACTCAGTGGATAATCTATGAGAGATGTGGGAGATCTCGTGTACTCAGTAGCATCAATAATGAACAAGGAGAAACTGATGCAGATGTAAAGGCAATGATTAGAGAAGCAACAACAGCGTTCCCACAATTGAAGAACATACTAAACTGGGAACAACTATCTGTGAGCCAACATCAAATCCACAATCTTCAATACAAACATCAAGACAGTTCTAGTGTACGGAGCTGAAACATAGAGAACTACTACAATCATTATCAAAATAGTACAACAGTCCAATCATTGTACTGCTCATGAATCAGTTTAATGATGACTATGATTATTACTCAAACAGATACTGAAATGAATGTTTGGAGTTATATTCATTTAGGTTTCGACCAAAATCTTACTAAGTTTGTACCTGAATAAGCTGTAATTCAGTACTACTCAACATCAACAAAAATAAAGTAAAACCCTTCAGTAACTTTTATTTTATTTCGTTGAACGCTTAATGAAGCTTGTTCATAACCAGTAGGTGTTATGATTAATTAATAATTATGTTTATTAGACATTGTAAATATTAATCACAGCAACATAATGATGGACTAAGCCTCGTTGTTGACATTGGATATGCTTTTGGAAACAGTACTTATCCACTTTAGTTAATTAACTAAAACCAGAACTATATAACTATGTTTGATGCAAGTTAATTATTACATAATTAAAAATAGATTTGTAAATTGAATTATGGAATACTTTCACTTGTGTTTGTAAATCAACATTCGCCTTATTACGACGGATGTAGTCACTGAATTTATAGTAAATTTTATTGTCTCTACAGTTTTACAAACTATAACAAACGATTTATTAGTGTCAATTCACTTTCTTCTTTCTATTCAATGCAGGTGGAAGAAAGAAAACTTGAGAAGTGAAAAACATTTTTACAATCACAAAATCAAGTCAGTGTTCCATAAACTGAAATGTGAAATATGAATCTTAATGAACTCAGTACAACTGGAATGACTTTGTTCAGTATAGATTATACTGTTATTTTCGTAATCAGGCACCAACAAGCACAGTTTATAATAAAAAATGAACCCAGTAATTTTACTGAAAATTTATTTTAAACAAACAATACAAAACTGGTCGTTACGTTTTACTTGAGTCATTCTTTGCAAACGATTGAATGCTGAATGATTGTCAAGGTTGTGATAGCGTAGTGGTTTTTATTGTTCTAGTAAAATGATACAAAAATAATCTTTATGTTTAACCAAACAGTAAAAATACATAAAGTATGTTACTAATACATGGATGTTTCCGTTACATAATTCTTAGTGTTTTTGTCCGGACTCATAACACATAGCGATTTAAACAATAATTAATCAAAAACTAACTCCGTACTGTGTTGTTATTATTATCGGTAGTAAAATATGAAAGGATTAAATGTCGTATGGCACAACATTCAAAGAGAAAGTAGCAAGACATTATTATGCGAAGTAGCACTATAGATTGCCATAAGCATATTGATTAGATGAAGGAGATTCGTTAAAAATACAGGAATAACATTTTATCATGTACAATATCATAAAACGTGTTTACCAAACGGGCGATTAAACAGTAGTCTCTGATGTAGCCATATAATGCAATTGCTAAACATTGTACGTTTAGTTCGTGTTCATGGGCGAATTTCATTCTTCAAGATTAATGGTAGTGAAAAATGTTATTCCATGCAGCTTGTCTATTACAATGCCATCACATTTCCTCATTAAAAATACAATATGTAATTCCAAATCGATACATAATGCATTTAATGAAGTGCTAATTACAATGCAACATTTAACTACACATCGTATATCTGTCTCTTATGTTCACCGAATAGTTTGAAATTTATTCGTTTTTATCAAGTGATTTGTAAAATATCAGATCTTGGGAATAAATAAATCAAAATCATGCTATTCGAACTAGATAATATGGTATGCAACAATTTCTTGCTATTGTTTAGCTTACAGCACGTCCATTCTGCGCGTATTACATTTTGCCTACAGAAGTGTAAATATGGTGGTCGAATTACTAGTTTAAATTTCATTAATAGTCATGCTTTTGTGATCGTATGTCAATCTGTTTTATCGTCGAAATGTGCACACGATGTTTCTAGTTATTTTCCATCAACGTTCCTGAGGACTTTCTACTTGTAAAATTTATTCACTTACAAAAAGCATCTACTGTACATATGAATGATCGTTTCAGCAATATTCTCAGCATTCATGAAATATACAATTAACTAATTCTTATAAGCAACGAAATGTGTTATTCTATCTACATGAACACACACTTTGAAATACATGTTGATCAGCCATTTATTCATTAATATTGCTAATCACGCTCACACGTTTTTATCAACAGCGATCAGAATGTCAATCATCTATATAATAGTGTCAGACTGAAGTAGTATATAAGCATCACAGTATTTTCATTTGAGACAATTATAACTTATCTACGAAAAATGAAAAGTGCTGTATTTCTTCTGATCTTACTTGTGATCTCAAGTCAAATAACATTTGACGGTAAGCAGTTTTGTCGTAAATCCGGTTTTTGCCAGTGTATTAATTTGTTTGATTTCAATTTATTTATGTGCAAGAACTGTTACACCTTCGATCTTAATTCTGTGGATCATCATCAACAGACATGATTTATAAAAAATAAAACCGATTGATGATTCCACAATTATGAATTACCTGTTTCCGATCATATCTCCATATCAACAATCAAGAGATTTCTAGCATTTCTACTAATATAGAGTTATCATTTTAGAATTAGTTTTACTAGTACACCTTGATGTAAAGACCTACACTCCCAGTGATATGGTTCACAGCAGTCCTTCTGTTAACGGCTGTAAGTAACATAACTTCGAATTTTGTAATAAATGATCGCCTATTCAAAAAGTAATTTTCTGTTCATTCCGAAATGAATTCGGAATTCACAATCTCATTGATTATGATCATTTGTTTAATCAAGGGGTTGTCAATAAATGTGTATTCCATTTACTATGATTACCTCTACATTACGTCAATCACACATCAATATTTCGGAAGTTACGCGTCTGTTTAGTTTATCTCACTTGACAGATTAAATATTTACAACTTCACTTGTTTATGTTCCTCTGTTTGATTGTCACATGTGGAACAAGCTATACAAATCATTAGGTGTGTTTTGAATGTCCATGTTTAGTTACAATTAACTGACTTTCTAATTCTTTGTGTCACAAAAATGGTTAACTTGATTTCTTGTCCAAATCACACCAGACATGAAGAGAATAATATGGCGTTACGGTATTCAGAAGAATGCATCTTTCCTTTTAGCAGATTTGTATACCAGTAGCAAAGACGAATTTTATTTTAGATGTTGAAATTCACTTATTTTTAAATTAAAATACAGTGGAAGGTGGAGCGGTAAGTTTTGAAACTAATAAACCAAGCTTTTTTTTAACCAGAAATTCTGTTTCATTTTCACAAAATACAGTTGTATATAATTCCAGGTCCATAGTTAAGGCGACTTTATTTCGGATGTGCGTAATAAAAATAAATGGGCCTTTTCACGTTTATTGTAAATGTTCATAGAAATAACCAGCTAAACACATTGCACATTACTAAATGTTTAATTGAATTAAAGACTTGTCAAGATAAAGTGATCATTGTTACGAAGATCGTCATGTCATTTACACAAATTCTAAATCCATTAGCTGAGAAATTTTAGTCACACAGATAATATTGGTGTGTATTGAAATGTTCAGATAATTATGAAATGGAACACATAAACAATATATCGAAATCAACTATGATGAGGTTAGATTTCAATGACGAGCCACTGTCGATTAACTGAAAAAACAAAGTGTTAATTGACCGAAAAATGTTAAGGAGAGTTGAATAGAGTGAAAATAATCAACTGGCTTTACGAATGACTACGAATCTGCTACATAAATCAGTGTGAAAAATATAATAGTCATGGTCTTCCCTCATTCCAGCTACTTGTTAAGATAGACAAAAAGGAGATTCAATAAATGGAGCATTAGGGGTTAGTAACTACAACTCAGGTTGTGTTCAATTCCAATTTAATTTAGTTGTAAATAACAGATAAATATCATACACATAGCATTCATATAGGACACGGTTCCATCTTCTATAATGTAAAACGACTGATCTGTGTGTGAGTGTATGTGTGTGTGTGTGCAATGTAGTCCTACATCATGAGCAATGTAAATTATCACCTTTCAGTGGTATGCATAAAAGAGATCCTTACTGATCAACGTAATTCTAAGGCATATCAAGATGAATATTATTCTATAAAATAAATTTTAAAACTAGGTGGTGTTATATCTGTAACTCAATGAACTTTTTTCGACAAATTTCGACAATTTAGGCTAACGTATCTCAAGATATCATGTAAATAGATGTCGAAATTCAACAATATGTAAATCATATTCACTACATATATAGAATGTTGTGGTGTAGACTTTCTTATGTGGCAGTTCATTCATGATTTGTCCAATAAATTTACAATAAACTACCACGTAAATATGATTAACGGGAACATCTGAAATATGTGGAAATTTGGAAAGTTAAATTCACTGATGGCATCGCCTGGTTTTCGTTTTCACTATTGGTTTTTAACTGAATAACTGTGAAAACCCTATATTTTATGCCTAATAAAACCATTGCTATGACTAATATTATTACTTACGTTACTATTATTAGTCTGAATCAATTTTCATTTTATTACTCTATATGGTACTTATTGCTTATTTGGTTCAAAACAGAGTCAACACGTAAGTAGTAATCTAGTTTTAATATTTAATTACACTACTGAGTTAATTTGTCAAAGAGGTTGTGTGTTAGATGTATCTTGTAAACTAGAAACTAATTTAGTTAATATAAGAAGTTGAAAATGAGAAGTTGACTTTACAAATAAGAATGAAAATGTCACTTTATCTCTTTGATTATTCTCAACCATGATGTATTATTCCACCTGTTTGTAATATGCTCATGGATATTTATTTATATATAATCCAGAAGATAATGCTGATCAAAGTGAATTTTAATTGTTGAATTCATGAGTCAATTAAAACTAGACCACTGTGGAAAACTTGGCAGCACTGCTAAGGAGTTCCATATTAGGAAGAAACGGCCGTCCACGATTTCCAAGTTTCCATGGTGATCTAGCTTTAATTGACTCATGAATTCATTTATTAAATTACTAAAATCTTCACCAAATCCCCTTCTAAAATAAAACGTTTTTGTTTCTTTTAAAAAAGGCTCATTCTGTAAGTTATGAACTTAATCTTGAATCAAATTTGATGTACTTTCAATATTTAATGAAGTTTTCAACGAATAGTAGCTGGTCATCCCGGATATGAATGAATAACATTTGACGAAGAAGAAAAATATGTAATGAAGTAGTCACAAAATGGAATGAAATCTACAGTTAGTCACAAATCTCTTGTTATTCCAATCATTCATCAGGAAATGAAGCAAAGTGCATTACAAGAACATAGACGTTAACTAAATGCTAATTGACGATTACTTTCGTTTTAGTTGACTCGTGACTGATACAGACCGGGATATTTTTAAACAATTTACATCCAAGTACTATGTTCTAATAAATTTTCGTAATATTTTCAAAAGTGCTGTCAAGTTGTGATTTTCATTAATCCACTTCATGGATACATGGAGGGTTTTACTTTTTTCCAGGATCTTACACATGAATACCCCGACGCTTCATATAACAAGGCAAATAAAGATTATCTGGTAAGTGATGATTCAATTTCAAATTTTTCAAAATATTTCTCTCTATTAAATTTATTAATGGAAAGACATTATTCATCTCTCTGATTCAGGACTTAGATGTTCGAAATTTAGTTTATCTGTCATGGTTTGTTGTAGTCACTAGATTGATTAACTCGAACATTTTGGTGACAAAGGTTTCCAAAGCCTGCATATTATCATTGCTTGATATTATACATAGTTCTATAGTAAGAGTTCAATAGCTCTAGCATAATCTACAGAGTTGTATTTCGATCTTCACTGAGCTTAATTATATATAGATGATGCATACAATGAAACTTTAAATTATAGGCCAGTCTGAAAAACATTCATTTCAAGAATGGTACAATTAATATTTCCAGCGCGTTCTGTGGTGAAACGGAAACACCTAAATTAGTTGGCTTTGTATTGATGAATCTAGATACTTTTGTACTACTCGTGCTAACTATTATTATGAAATGTAATTTTCCATGTTCACGAAATAATCACAGTCTGACCAATCAGTCGAATAGTTGAAAATAAACACAGTTTGATTTTAGTAACTACATTTGAATGAGAAGGCAATGTTAACAGACATTGGTTATTGTCAGTAAAATACCAATTAGACTACTTAGTGAATATTGTGTAGTAAAGCATGAATATCTGACTACATTATTGTAAATGGTTCAAACTTTACTACTTGCTTTCCTTAAAGAAAATACATGGAATTATAAGACGATAAAAAATGTAAGTCGGTTGATTTTGTTTTACATACAAGTTATCCCGATGTATGACTACATTTGAATAGCCTCGAAGATGTATGCTGTTCTTTGAGCTATCTTCTATGTTGTTTGTTCTCATGAGTTTGTCAAAAGTATGATGAAAAACAAACAATCAGGTCGAATTCATACACATTTTCACAATCTTGAAATACGGTCATATCTGAAGTAATCAAGAAGAATTACCACGAGCTAACATAAAGCATTGAACTAATATTTCACTTTTAATACCAAAGTGTACATTGCATATAAATTATGTTGTTAAAGAAATGAAGGGTTAAATACCTTAAAATATAATGAAAGAATGACAGATTTAACACTACGAAATTAGCATTAATTGTGATATGTCTGGGATATTGTATCCTTAAATTTTTTATTGAATTCATTTCGACTGGCATTCAAGCACCAGAGAGTGTGTGTTTAAAATCAGATTATTCCAAAGTTTACTTGGATTAAAAATGTATGGAGAAATTTTAACAGTAGAGCTGTGTAGAATATTGTTAATTGAAGTTAATGGTTTAAATGTTGCTATATTTATTAATTATTCAGAACCTTTAACCGACTAACTATGCTATTAGCTAATTATACTGGTATTCAGAAACATTCATCACACAATGAACTTTCTAAAGATACCAATGCTTCGAAACACGACCAGTGTTCTATTATTTTCTCTATCATTTTCTTTATTTACTCGATGTGCCCTGCGTAGACAAGTAGAATAAGTAAGAAGTGTTATGTTTTATTAATTCACATTCGTGTAGTGCGATAAGATTTAACACTAAACCAATTAATACTTCATGGATGATAAGTCTTAGATAATATTAGAAAGGTCTGTTGAGATAGTATTGTCAAATTAAATGTTCGGATTAAATCTGTAGTAGAGAATAGATAAACCAATCTTGTAAAAACTCAAAGTCAGTTTTACAGTTACAATTATGAACATCATGGTGGTCTGAAATTTCAGTCTTTAATCTTTTTTTTTCATTGAGCATATTTCCTCAATCTAACAAAAGTTGTTTCTACTTTTCCTTCCTTTTAAAGATGAATTCCAAACTGTGTTTCACAATCATTCATTTTCATTCTATTTTACATGGACAATAATATGAAAACATGATTATCTCATATGTTACCTTCATTATCTGTCACCCATTTGAGTGAAATAAAATCAATGTTAATTTACAGTGATCAAATTGTGTTAAATAACATTCAATGGAAGGAGAACACTTAATCAAAATGGGAATGTAGTTACTATCGATTGGATTGGTCTAATTGAAAATAGTGGTGGAACCTGTTTTAATAAACTACAATGAATATTCGTAACGAATAATTTAGGTTGTAAACTCTATCAATGTAGTACTACCTTTCTGTCGGTAAAGTTTAGGCTTTCATAAAATAGTTAAAGATTCTCTTTGCGCACTAAAGTGAAAATCAATACTGTAACTCGAATGAACCAATATAGAAATAATTTCTCTGAGCAGGTATGTAATATGTATGATAAACTTAGAGCGTCTAAACTACCTCATATGAAGTAACAAACATTTAAGTGATTTAAAAATGAGTGAAAGATCAAGCGACATCATGCAGTAACAGTTTATCATGATCAGTAAATTTAATCTATATATAGGTGTGAGTGCGTATCCAAGATCCCGCACGTGAGACTCGAACCGAGGAACTTTGCTCGCGCACTCAAATACTTAACCACGGGCTAGCATCCGATGGTGTTAATGTCTAATTTCAAACAATGCAAGATATTGAATGACCATCTTGCATTGTATTCGGTAGGTAATTGCCTCATACGCGACACGCTTATCAGTCATGAAGAACTATCGTTTAAAGTGATGTAAGCTCACTAGTACAAGATAAAATAGAAGTCCGTAGAATGATAAATGATGAATAAAAAATCTACAGTTATCCTCCAACATGAAACTATTACGGGTTATTTATAAATACGTGAAACTGAATCATTCACGATTGAAATTTTGAATAAAACACTGTTACATTCTTAATGTTAAGTATTAGTTATCGTTGAGACTTATGCATCAAATGATTTATACAAGATGAAAGACATCCAATTTTGCAAGTGCTCATTATGAGTCAGTCTCACTAAATATACCCACGTATTATGCACTACATTCAAATTCATTGTGAGTTTCACCAAATGAATTTCCTATTTTCCATGATTCTTTCTCACATAACTATAACATGCAACTATTAATCTTATTATGGTAGAAACTATGGACGCCGTCGTCTTCGAATAACTTTCGGATCAAGTAATTACATTTTATTTTAAGTAGACAAGAGAGTACAGGCATAGTAACCAATTGTTTATTTGATTTAAAATACTCTGAAATTTCTTTTTGTTTTCTTAATTTAAATGTTTTGAATTAACTCCAAGTCGAAATAATAATAAAAAAGAAAAACATTAACTGAAATATTGTTTATTGGTGAACGATGGTTAAATGAGGTTGCTAAGATAATTTGAGTGCATTAGGGATATTTTGACGGAAATATTACTAAAACAGAATAACCGTAACTAACATTGAAGTGAGTGTGTGTTACTGAAAAGAAGTATAAATAAAATCTATTCAGTTACGTGATTAATCCATGTAGTAACTACTCTGCCTAGATAAGTTATTTAATCAGAAAACCAAATTCTGAAAATTGAAACTGTGACTAGTGTTTACAAGAACTAGTCATCATATTGTATTGTGTCGTTTACGTGAAACTTTAATACTGGAATAAACTCGAAACTTACCCAATTACAAACACATGATAAAATTGATCGTAAGAATGTTAGTTTGATCAGTTCCACATAATTCCAATTGGGCGTAGCTTAACGCAAAATGGGTTTGATATTCCGATAGTTCAATAACTATTCGAGATTAGCTATTGCAGTAACATTATGGGTTATACTACTCATGCTGACATGATCAGCATAGTTGAGAATGTACTCAGTTCATGGTTCATGCCTTCAATGCATACAACTTATTTCTATTAGACGTTAGTTCCACATATATTCTAATATCCAGAATAAGGAAATAGTGAAACTTCATATTTGAAAATAAGCAGTTCCAATATGTGATAATCGTATTCTAGAATAAGTCAGATGTTGTTTAAGCATGCACTTGATACAAAAAGAAACGAGCAAATGATTAATTGTTGTCACTGTTTCCATGATTACATTAACATGACTATTGACTACTGTTGAACGTCGAAAGGATATTTTAAGTTTTAAAAGGTGGTGAAGACATAGAATGATGTGCATACGACAAAGTAAATGAGATTTATTGGATGTATGATGTGAACAAGATTTTCCGAGCTCATTCGAAGTACGACAATCAATTAAAAACATTATATCGGTTGGTTGGCAATACAACCGATTCAAAATTATACTATATGGATGTACTAGTGCATTGAGTGCTAATTTTTTATTACCATGAATATGAAATGTGAGCTCTAAAATGAGTCATGTACTTTATTTGTTGTGTGGGCAAAGTGATAAACACGTTTCACTGAGCATCGCCTCTTATGGATTTGTAATTATCTCCAAATATTATACTCATTTGTATTAACTAACGTTGTTTAATTGAATGACTTGGTAATTTTCGACTTTTGTGAAAAAATGGTTGATCAATATAAAAGTGTCAGTATGACCACGCAGTTGTTTGTGCTTTCTTCCGTGGCTGGTTTCGTAATCTTGATTAATTTCTCCTTGGTAGTGTTTTTTCATTGCTCTCTGTGTAATCTGCTTGATTTCTTGATCGCAGTTGTCAAGTTTGCCGAATGTTCCGGTGTAAGTATCCTCTATGGTTTCATCTTTTAGTAATCCATGACGTGTTGGTATTTGCGGATCCCGTAGCAAACACCAGTTATCGTTAGGTGTGACATTTTTACTCCGCGTTACTCAGTTATTCTCCATTCTCTTCGACAGGTGATTGGAGGTCTGCATATAGATGCAAAGTAACTTACAACCTAATAATGAATTATCTTGGTATCTTAAAGAAAAAGTACAAGTATGAAACCTCGATCTAATTAGAAATACTTATCTTCTAGTACTATTTCTGAGCAAACAACAAGTACGCCTAAGAGAAACAAAACACAACTCATTATTGAAGTTAGAATAAATTGGTTACATTAAAAATATGTTATGTTTTATGTACTGTATCTAGAATAGTGCAATCAGCTAAAGATCACAGACAAATTTGAAGATCAATCATAAATGAATACATCACAATTACATCAAGTACATTGTTCGTATCATCATATCATATGACAATAGAACAGATACACATACCAATGCAATCGAGTTTTTTATTTTTAAATTTAATAGTTCACGCTTTCACTCATCAATCTCGTTTTATCAACTGATCCTCATAATGCCTTAAGAGGTATTGCTTGTTTTCGAATAAACACAAACAAGATATTTAGAGCACATCATTTTGATTAAAGGTTTACATTTGTTATACATTTTATGGAAATTAACTTTAGATGGATTCATTTTAATAAGTAAACGAAGTGAAATTAGACTAGATGCTGATTATAACTTGACATTAATGTATTACTTCGAATTAGTTAGTTATCGTTCCGAAGACAGACGAGTGTCAATCCATAAAGTTAAGATCCTCTTATTATTCATTTATGAATAAACATGAACTAGAATTTAGTTGACATGGAAAACATAAAACAATAAAGAAATTTGGATTAAAATTCCGCCTTATTCAACCTCATTCAGACACAGATATTTTGTTATGAAAATATTGATGGTAATTCCCAAACTATTGGGTTTAGCACAATTCCGACTAAGTTGTGGAATATTTATAAAATTATGAAATATATTTTACTTTTGTTTCTACAGAGCCATGACTACCATTAAAATATCAATTCAGAGAATAAATATTTCTGCTTTAATTCCATTTGGAGTTTTCATAATCGTAGTAAAATAAATCTAGTGTTTGATATTATAATTGTTACTGAATTCTTCGCTTCACTCCTGTGTAAATTATTGCCCTCATTCCATGCGTGTACTTGTGCAGTACCAGTATGTGTATCTCACTCACTTGACCACAAATGTATAATTTTACTCGTAGGTGTCTTTGAAAAATAGTACGCGGAAAATCTGTAGGTGTCTTTACGGAGTTTCGACTGATAATTTTAAATAAATTTAGCACTGGGTAGATCATTAGCGTCAAAAACTAATGATACATTTTTAGTATCCCATTAAGTAGAAAATAAAGAATTTTCTGACATTCCTTGATTCTAATTGCTGAAAAATTCCCATTATATTAAAAACACAATTGTATGAACGAAGAATATTCTTTTCCAATAATTTCTCATCAGGTTCTACAATTATAAATCCAGATTAATAATCCATAAAATTGGCCAGATTTAAGGCAAAATACATCATTTCGAAATTGTAATATGTGAATCAGGAATTGTTGTTTGTTATATCAAATCAAATCAAATCGTTAATGTTGGGGCTAACTAATATGAAGTGTTCACTTGAATCAGTTCATAAGCGAAATGAAATTGTGAGATAAATTATCAGGATAAATATGGTCAACATGGGGTAAGAGAGAGAGAAAATTGTCATTACAAATCGGAAATTGCGTAATATGTAAAATAATTAGGTCAAATATAGTAGATTCAGGGGTGGATACTGAATAAATTCATCAAAAAGGGGGTTATCAAGTGTAAAGACAATAATAATCATAACAGTAATAATAATAATAATAATAATAGTAACGGTAATAATAATAAGTTTGGGACATAAAATGAACATTAATCAGATTACGTCACCATATTTTAAGATTGATTATTAGCTAGTTGGCCAGGGTAAAAAGAGTGGCTGAACATACTTCTTTTGGATACAAAGCTCTGGCTTTTTGATCCGAATAGCAATTGCTTCAGCCGTCTGTAGGATTCGCAGTCTGACGGAATTAGGTAGACTGCTGTTGACACGGTAAACTATTGCAAAAGATTGCTCGATGTTGGCTGTATGTCCTGTTTGGACTAAATGGTCTAAGATGGAGCTGTTAACAGTTTTGACAACACCTTTGCTTAACCACACGGGTAGGTGCTCACGAGCCCGAATGTACAAATTC